AAGGAGTGTGGAAACACTTATAGAAGTATTTTCGCAGAAACGTTTGCACTTATATTTCGAATTTCCCTTACCTTCCTTACTTTGGTTGATTTCCTCTTAAGCATAGTTCATTACTAAACATTGTTAGCTTTCTTTAGGAATCCAGACAATGACGAACAGCAAGATAATACTACTTCTATTGCTCTCTAATTCAAAGTTTTCGACTTCGTTCCCGTCCAGGGGCCGAGCACGTTTGTAACAGTCCAAGGTGAATGGTTAACAGTTATCGAGGAAGGCCGCCTTAAGATTAAAACTCTATTTCTGGAGTACTTACGTACTCCCTTACTTTATATGGGCAATGTACTTCGTGCCGTGATACTGTGTATTCTGAAAGAACAGCTGACGCCCCAAATGTTGTGTTCCGCAATGTCTCCTGTTTTATATCAATAACAGAAATTGAACTTTGGACTTATTAGTGAGTACGGGCGCAGCAGTTAGTATTATGCATCAGAATGGAACCAAACTATATTGAAGACAGTTCACAATAATATTCACGCTGCCACCGAAACTAAAAACGTGATGTTTTGTCACAGGAATTCGGTACAAGACTTGTAGATTACGAGGCTATCCTCCAAAGAGCTTAGAGCAGTAAACTAAGAAATGGCAATACTGAGAATAGATTTCTTAAGAAGACCATGTATTTCGGTGGACACTAAAATGACTTTTCACGCTGTAAGAAACATAAAGTTCGGAACCCCACTGGTAACAAATTCGAGGTTTCAAGATATACTCTCTGAATTCTCAGGTCCGACCAAATCTAACCTCAACCTAACAGATTTAGGCCAAAACTAGTTGTGCATTCAAAAGCTCGGGTGCCACTGTGCTTGTTAGGCTAAGAAGATTAGCTACTAATAAGCTTAAAATAGCTGTAGTTGAATACGACTACATGCTACAGTTGAGTATTATCGGTCCCCTTGATAGCCAATAGTCACGTCTTCTACTCATGGTCCCAAAGGAAACAAAAGTGATTGCAGATCGTTTGTGGAGTGCTTTTAGGAAAATATTACTCTCACAGTCCGCTCTGAAACCGAATGGTGTAGGTTCACACGCGTCTCGCCCACTCCAAGTCCGATAACGATAATTCTGGGAAAGAGCGGTTCTATATTTAATCAAAAAAGGAAATTCAGACAATTACCAAAAACAATATTACACCTTCGAGTTTCCAATTACCACAATAGGTTCCGTTGCTGGAAGAATAAGTGCTTCCAGTCCGTAACTGCTAGAGTATCAAATCCAAATATGGCTGTAGCCATATCAAATATCAAATTTAAACAACATATGTACAGTTCAGAAGGAAACATAAAAACTTCAATATAAGCACAATATATAGAAATAATAACAATATACAATGATAAAATCTCAAAATGGAATCAAATTGAGTATCAAAATATCAACAGAAACAGTCAGTCATATCATAACGTAAATATATATATATATATATATATATATATATATATATATATATTAGTAAGAGTAATTAGTAGAACATTCAACGCTGCCAAACTTGCATTGACTTTCTCCAGTCGACCAGCGATGTCTACCCAAACGAAGGATAAGTTACCTGAGTTGGCCTCCTCTATGTGCATTTACAAATTCAGCTGCTCCTGTGGAGATAGCTATATCGGGCGTACTTCCAGGCAACTTACACAACGAATGAGTGAACATCTCCCAGCATGGTTTACAAACGGTCAGTCAAAAACAATACGCAGTTCTATCTTAGCACACCTGGTAGATAGTGGTCACATTGTAGATAAATCTAGATCTTTTCGGGTGATCTATCGTATACCTCCATCATTTCCCAACGGAGTTCGACCCCGTCTCCTACACATTGCAGAAGCCATAGGAATACGCACATTCAACCCTAATTTATGTGTTCAGAAGAAATTCCTGACACCCCTATCTCTTCCGCGGCCGGATATGACGTAACTAACGATTGACACTATATATATTTTACTTATTTTAATTTTATTATTTTTATTACTATTTTTACACATCTGCTTATTACGTAATTTTTTTTGATGTTTTCTGATGATTATTTGAATTCTATTCATCCACCCTTGACCTACTTTAGTTATCATATTTTATAAATTTTCTTACTACTATCGGTTCACATATCTTCCTACTATCCACTTGTACTTTTGCCTTTTTCATTTCATTGTGATTATCACTCAAATTGCTTTGATTGGTTTAACATATTCATATAAATATTCATGTATATTAGAGTAAAGCCTGATGACGATCTAATCGAAAACAATATTGTTCGCTTATATGTGTTGTTCTAATATATAAATAACATAAATATATATATATATAACATATGTACTTGGATTAATGAGTTTATTTATCATGGTGGTTATCCAATTAATAGTTTGTCATAGTTAAGACCTGTAACCAACAATGAAATAAAATGTTATTGTACCTCACTTATCAATAGTATAATTAATATAGATGGACGTTGGCTAGCGGTACAAAGTCCTCAAAATACCAGACCAAGAGAATGAAAATGACTGAGGTCAAAGTTATGAACAAAGGAGACCAGATTTGTAGTAAAACCGACAAGTCCAACGACCAACAAAGATAATGATACTGAAGATAACGGATGATAGTCGAATACTTCGAGATACTCCTGCAATAAACAGAATATTAAGTTCAGGATGCATTAGCAACCTACTCACTGATGCTGAGCCAATTATTGTCAGTTGTCTTCATAAAAAGTCGTTAATTACCATTATTGTTAAATAATTAGGGATTTTTTATGGTTGTAGCTCATTCGTTTGTGAGATAACTAAGTCCTACCACGTGTGTTGTTCTGGCTGTTTAATAGAGGTTAGTTTGAGACATGTGCCGTTCAAATCCCAAACTGTTATCAATTATCAGTGTTGTTATTAATACCCTTGTTCAAAAGTAGCTTGTTCATAAGTGTTTCATCAGGGTTGATCGGGAAAGTAACTACACATGAGAATTTCAGCAATGTTTACATTCACCATAATGAAACAGGTTCTGAGATATATAAACGAATATCAAGTTTACTTTTAAAATAGGACAAAAGAAAATCCAAAGTGCATGCGAAAAAGGTTCAGTCTGCATCCTAGTGGGAAGAAATAAAAATGAATCACAATATATTTATTACGGATAAAATTTGGGGGAAATTATCAATGTAGTAAGATATAATTGTGGAATAAATGTCCAAAAAGTAACAGTTTTAAGTATGCACAATTGAACGAAGGGACAAAACGTCATGTATCAGTTCGTAGGCGTTGTATACATAAAGAAGATGAGTTTGATCAGCTAATTTATTTCTTTAGGCGTTAGGTGAGCTGTTTAAATGAGTGTTTTGAAGAATTATTAAAACATTTTTTGTCTCATTATGGTAATAAATATAAACTTACAATAACTTTGAATGTTTACATAAAGTTATTACATTAAATTTTTCTTCCCGACAACAGTACTAAATATACCAGACCTTGCTTTTGTGAATCACTGCTAATCAGATAGATGTTTGATGGATCACGCAAACCGCTTTGGGAGCGAACATCATCTTTGACACTCTTGAATAGGGTTGTGTTCTGGAAATGTTACAAAAGGATGAAAAGCGATCGATGAAGTTATTCTAGTGTAAGCACGTGTAACTTCTTGAAACCGATATAATACGATATGTGTTCCATTAGGATTTCCTAACTCTTAGATATACAAACTGTTACGGGAGAAATGAAGACCCTTGACTGATTAAAACCTTAATATAAATATCATTAATTTCACTGTGTTTTTGGGTACATTTGTTTTCCTCAACTTATGAACTTGCTTGATTGATTATTTTCGGACATTTTGGGTTTTGTTCTTCTTGGTGTGGTTTTTGAGTTTTTGCTCCAGGAACCTATAAAATTGAAGGTTTGTGTAGTTATTATGATTATTGTTGTTAGAACGACATTTTGGTCGGCTATTTGTGAATTGCGAATAAACTTTGGTACCTAAATTTGGAGTTTGGTTGTGTTATGAATTTGGGTTCGTGAATTGCAAATAGATCGACATACTGTACTTCAATAACGGGAAGGAGCTAAACTTGGACGTAACACAAACCCTTTACTTAAACATCATTAGTACTTTTCTCAATGATATCAGGTAAACTGCTGGTCTATATTTTCTTTATGCTTGCCGTACGTGCATGTAAAACCACGAAATGAATGATGTATATTCAGCTCTGTCGATTATAGAATCCGTTAAAAACTATCATATCAGTGAGTTAAGTTCACTAATTGTGGCTATTAATACTACTATATTTCCTAGAACAAAAGAATTGTCGATGGCGTATTTAAACAACAGAAGCTTTGTAAGTCTTGGCATTAGTTACTTATTGTGATTAAAAATATTAATATACTCTCTGTAATGTTTGAACAAGTCGGAAATCCAGTGGTAGCAGGCGTAACTGTACCATTCGACAATGTCAATGATGAAAGAAAATGTGACAGATCTTTTGCTTTAAACACTCAGGACATGGATAACATTTGGATTTTTGAGTAACTATACACCATATTAGTCATAATAACATAATTACCGAATGATTAGTCTATAACAATGATAACAATGATTTATTCTAACACAATGATATGATATATGTGGAATACCAGTTTACATTCATGTTGAAAACGCTAACAGATTTACTGTAAAAAGTTGTTCATTTAGATGAATATTTTACAGGAACAATGAGTTTTTAAGGAGGATCAGTGTTTGTCAAATAAAAGTGTTAACACTTCAGACTCTGAAATGTATAATACACCAATTGATGTAAACTAATCGACAGGGATAAATAAAAAGATCGAAACGAAACATCAAAAATCCTACATTTCCAGAAAATTACAGACCACAAGAAGCCTTTCATTGTCAAACAGTTGAATATTCAAGCATTGTTATGTCTTACCTTTATTTTGCTTTCTTTAGGACGGCTTTGTTTGTTCACTTAGCTTTCAAGGCCGTTCGGGCGAACTATTCCAGCGCCTAGTATGGCTTAGTGCGATGCCGTCTCTGATGTTCGTTTTCTCTTCGTTAATTATTTTTGTGCTAACATAGTGTCCATTGTTGCACGTGGAACGTCGGCGATGAAAAACCGGGAGATGAAGATCTTTCTTCTTTTCTTGGCGTCAACTCCAAACCGTCGCCTGATGTCATAAGCGTTGCGTAAGTCTTGTAATTTTATTCTTTTCTTCATAGACTTCAAGAAGTTTGTGGTGACGATGCATGGAGACGAAAGCTCTTGGAACATTTGTATCCACATGGCTATGTGCTGGTAATCGTCGAAATATTCGTCAACCCTAAATTCTTTTGAGTAGATCAAGTCACGAAATTGTTGGGCAATTTGGATATTCTCATTTTTAAAGCGAAACCTTTTGCCTGCAGTTACAAATATTGAATCTGAGGTTACGGCCTCAGGATACGCTGGTGTCATGGTTTGTTTGATGCCTAAAATATATATGAAATTTTAAGGGAAATAAGGGTGGGGTTAGTGCAAGGTTTGAACTTTGCGGAATAAACATGATATTCCTTTCGTGTCATTTTACTGCCCACAGAGAAAATAAGCAGGATCGCCTAAATGTGGGTTGTTTTTATTTTTATTTTTTCTAGGACTATATCGATATCATAGATCATCAGAGTTTTAGAGATGAAGATGTCAATGTCATCATCGATCATGAGTAACTTATGCCTGCTTTATAAAAACTGAATATAGTTATGTTTTTTGGATGGGTGATTTAAACTTTCGTATTGATCACCTCACAAAATCCGAAGTGGAATTAATGGTCGAGGAAAAACGTTTTGACGAACTTCTACAACACGACCAAGTAAACTGCTATAGCGTACATTCATATTATAGCTTCTTAACATGAAAAACGAAAAGCTGTTATTTCAGGATTTCAATGAAGGCACTATACACTTCCCTCCAACTTTTAAATTTGATAAGGGAACGGATACATACGACAGTAGGTAATTACACACATTCTGTCTTGCTACCTTATTGTAGTAAAAAGCAGCGCGTTCCTGCGTGGACGGACCGCATATTATATATGGTCCATCGGGATTTCGCTCTGGATCACCACCTTAACCTCACTGAAACTGACCGACAAAGAACAGCTAGCCCATCTCGTCGATTACCTGTACGTGGATCGCCATCCGAAGTGGCTGAAAAGTTCCCAGCAAACACTTCTATTAAAGGAAGACAACATCCTGAAGCCGTTCTACTCAAGTACACCAGTTTGAGTGAATACAAGACTTCGGATCATCGGCCAGTTATTGCGGTTTTCAGATTGTCAGTACCTCCTAGGTGGTTTAGTTTACCTGTCAAATTTATTGAACCTGATGGCAAAGGTAAAAATCTCTACTTTATTTCAGTAATTTCATTCATGTTATATATCTTACTTTTGAATCTCGATTAGTGTAACTAAATGTTTCTCTACTTTAGTAACCCGTTATTCCCTACTTTTCATAAACCTACTAACTTTACGTAACTGGCCTAAGTGATCACCCTTCTAATTCTAACTGAGCGCATCAGTATTTTAGCAGAAAAAGTATTTACTGACTGCTGATATATATATATATATATATATATATATATATATATATATATGCTGTGTAAATTTGAAGCTATGCTCGCTGGAAATCATTCTATTAACTCGCTGTCGTTTTTTGATGGATCATAAGTCGTTTCATTCAGTAGTATGGTTAGTAAAATATAAAATTGTATATATGTATGTATATACTAGATGCAAAGTATTAGCAGAAAACATTAAAGGTTGTGGTTACCAGTGCATGAAGTTTCCTGACATTTTTCAGTGTTGTCGTCATATGATACATATACATCCACTGCGTCCATGCGTTTTCATTTTACTGGCATTTTAGCAGTTAGGTAGTATATTGTATTATCTGTTAGCTCAAAGTAACAAGGCTTACAATCGCACACTGGCCCAAGTGCACTCACCCTCTGTATTCCTCCAGATTTTAAGTTTCTTATGCTTTTTTGTTCCTGCATTTCATATTTTCTCGAAGTATAATATCAATCCCTAATTTCTACTGCTAACAGCGATATTGCTAAAATTACTACTGTTGTGACATCTCTGTGGTGATGTAACGTTAAATCTTGAGCTGATGAACACATGTTCCAGGTTCTACGTTGTGTTCAGCTGACTCTTTTGACCTGCCTCTTATACTAGTTTTCACTAGCAACACCTATGTAACTGTGGAAAATCTATGCTAAATATTTGGTGTATGCTTGTGCTTATTTTATAACTGTGTTTCATAGGTGCTTATTATGAATGGGTTGTGGAAGCCACTTAAATAATAATCCGAGTTCAAATAGCTCGAGTCGTTGTGAAACATTTCGCAACATTAGAAATATACTTGTTTATTGGATGGATAATAGTAATAAAAGCAAAGTCTTGTTAGATATATCAAAGTACTTGTATATGTCACTTCCCGAAAATCGAACAATGTAATAGTGGGGATCTAAATGTAAGTCGAGGATGTGCCGTATAATCGCAAAATACTGACCGAAATCCTATCTACCTGATTACGTTGCTTCACCTTACTTTCATTTTTCTGCACATCTGATCGTGTTAATAATGCAAGAAAAGTATTATTTCCGGTCACATAAATAATTCCTAGTAATGTTTTTTAGCTTCGGTTCTCATTTTGTTACATTTGTGCTACTTTGTTTAAAAGAACTTCTATTTATATCCTCCAAATGTTTTAGTATATCCTCTCAATGCCAATTTGGAAATATCTTACCAAGTTCTTGATCCGCCTGGCTTATTAAGGCTTTCAGAAACAAATTCATTACTTTCATCTAAAGAATATGTCCCAGTATCTGATTTCGCCAAACTACTATTATTGAATACACTAGGAAATTCTGCAAAAGCGGGAAAGTCAGAAAAAACAAATGATGATTTGAGTCCATTGGCTCCTCAAACTCTACAAACTACATCATTCGACTGGATAGCCCTTTACCCAGCAGAATTTTCGGATCTGGAAAAAGATTATATAACTTATGTTTATGCATCAAGTAATGTGTCTCAAACGAAACACCGAAAAAATTCTGTTTCCTCTGCTTTATTACAGCCTCCGAATAAAGCGAAATTTCAAGAGTTATATAAAACGAAAATTGAAGCAAGTCGACTAAAGGATTTACCTGGTCAATCATTTTGTCTTGTCTATATGAGTCGTAATAAGCATTGTCCTCAGGGTTATAGTTTACCTTTCAAGGTGAGTTTCTGTTGGATAAGTCAGTGATTGTATACTGCTTTATTTGTGCATCATTAAGTGGTCCCATTTTCGGTGTGACCGATATAACCACTAACTAGTAAATCTATGGGGTGAATTACTTTTGGCTTTACAATCCTTCAGAAAGGCTAGTTGACTGTCTATTTTGTAAGTGTATAACAAGTTAGAATACTGGCTACCAAAGTAAACGTCTTTACGATTGTTTCCATCTCGTGAAGATTTGAAATTTCCAGCTTGAATGTGTCTAAGTATTTTGTTCAACAAATCCTCACCAAACTAACTGGGAGCTGCAGCTATCCATACTATAAGTTGACGTGATTACTGTAGGACCTCGAGTAATTAAAGTTGTAACCAATCACAATGACAATAATGCTGCGTTTGTGTTTGGTAGTCTGTTGCAGCTTCGGTTTCATTTTCGACTACAATCATTGCTTCTTGAACATAATAGCTGATTTGCAGTTCGTATGATGGATGCTTGACTTGATTGTTGGAGTCCTTGAGATAATCTTATTGTATGGTTAAAGCTTATATTACTTTATCCTAAATCGGTTGCACTAGCAAACATGCATTCATTTTTAATATACTCCCAAGTTTTGTTCTATAGTTTTTGTTACTCGGCTTCGTTCATTTGTTAAATGGTTTGTTATTATCAGTTTTATCGATTACCTTCCCTTATTTGCTAACACAAAGCGTGGCAACTTATCAGTCGGTCAGCAGCAACGTAGAACTTCGTACGTACCAATTCGTGCTTATGGAGAGCCCCAAGTTATATCTATCTCTGATTGTATCTATATCTGCTTCTTTTCTTTTCTGCATGTTCCATTTCACTTCAGAGGCCTTTATAAAACCAAACTATGCTCTCAAAGAGACCAGTTATACTTTGTCGTATTTTCTATTTATACGACTAAGTGAAACCCATGTGGCTTTGTGTGTGCGTTTATGAGTGACTATGGTGCTACGTATGACCAGCAGCTCTCCTGAAACTAGTCTTAGTTAACCAACCTGCGTCCAATGTGTTTCTCTGATTCCAAGTACCACTAAGTTGTATGTTTTCATTTCCGCATCAACTCAAATGACTGTCTCGGCCTCCCAAAGTGAACATTCCATATGCCTAAATTAATGACTACTCTGGTTGTCAGAAGGGAAATCAGCCTCATGACTTCCGAAGGAACTTGGCTTCCATCATGATACATCATAACTCTTCTAAGTGAAGACCTAACTCCCAGGGCGAGTTAGTCTTTCAAGGGATGGGGTCGGTCACTCTATGCCCAACCCTCCTTTATCCGGGCTTGAGAACGGCAGTAGCCCCGGAGGGGCTCCAGACGGAGTTGGTATATATATATACCTCACACTATAGTACGCCAGCGATTCATTCCATATTGTTATAGTTTTTATGAATCGTTTTTGATTTAATACCTATCTTATTCAACCTACAAAACAATTCTGCTTAATATTCAATTTCTTTAACACGCTCTTCATGTTAGATTCGTTCTGTGAGTTTGATAACTTAGAATTCATCGTATATATGCATTCCAGTCTGAAAAATCTGCTAACATGCTTATGATAATATATCTTGCAGATACTTGTTACACATTTAGAGTAACGGATTTGTTACATTTTCTCACTTTTTATAACATACTATTCAAAACAAAGCATATTTATTGTTTGCTCATATTTAGTTTCTGTCTTTTCGATGTACCACCTCTTTGCTGATGTAAAGTGTAGCAGCTTAGGTAGTCATGCACCTTAACCAAATTAGTTACTGTGTTTTGTCTTTAATAGTGTCTGTTTTATGCTTTACGACACACTACTTTAGTTAGCAAATATACTGCACTGTACGGAATTATTATTTCCTCTACACACAGCTTAACAATCAACATGTTTCCATGGATAGGTAAATGTTGACCATTCTTTTTTAAAATCTGAAAACTGCTTAACACTAATCATTATTCCTTAACTATTAAATTAACTACTCAATTTACTGTGTATTGTAGATTTCTGCTTTATATTCTTCCTCTTTTTTAATACGTTGAGAAAACGACACAGTCATCACATGCGATTGTCAAACTTCTTGTAATAACTAATTTATTGAAAATTATGTTTACTTCTTTCTAGGTTAAGAAGTTAACGAAATTAAAGAAATTTATACCGAAATTTCTTTTGTCTAAAAGAAAACGATCGTAATGAGTAATTAGTGGTAATATAAACTTGTTTCTTGTGCACAATTCGATCGTGTTATAAAAACTACACTGATGTTTTCAGCTTTACAATTTTTGTTCAGAAATTATTTTATTTTGGTGATTGGGTTTGAAGGTTGATAATCAAAAAAATTAGTTTTGATTTTGTTTGAGATAAAATTAATAACATGTCGAATTCACGGATTAAAAAGTTAATTCTATTAAGGCAACTTCAGCTTTATGTTATTGGTGATTGGCACACTTAAAATAACTGTGATAAAGTATTTTTAATGGTGTAGTCTATCAGTTTACTTTGAATTTTAATAAGCATCATTAATTCATGTTAGCTCATGCCTAAGGCATTCACTATCGTAAAACTACGAATGTAATAAACATAAGTAAAAAGACTTTTGAAATCAAAGCAATTTTCCGCATTCCACCTATGTACAGTAACGAACCAATTTGTTATTAGTTTTATAAACGAAGTGTGGCTAAATTATCTGAATAACTAATCACTGGAAATTATGGAACGATGAACATTTTCTTCAATCCTTACTAGGGCTATTGATTTAAAAGGTTCTTCTTGTCATAGAGGTATTTGAAAATGAGAGTTAAACTAAAACTACAAATACTTTTGCCTTATCTTAAAAATATGTAAGACTAACAGTTTGTAGCACTCAACTGATTTATTTGCCATGTAATTATTTTTTTTCTCTTAAATACTAACGCTAAAGAAACCGAATCACATTAAACGCAAAATTGCTATTAACATATATTTAGTTTACCTTGAAGCTTTTTCTTAATATAACAGATTGTCAATAATATATTTCTGTTGTCCTTCAGTTACAGATTTAATTTTGTACTCAACATGCAGAAAAGAATATTCGACTGACAGACCACAAAACCTTGAACGGTTCATACTTCTTGTTTACTTGTTACCTGAGATACACAAACAGATGAATCTCCATTATCTCACTGTATGTTCAGTGTTCTGCGGTTTTAATCGTGTTTTTTTTATTTGTATGTATTGTGCTTATTACTAACATTGTTTCCTCACTATTTTATTTATGTTTTTTTGTAATTGTTTACTTTTGTTGTTTTTCTCTTGCTTCTTATTTTATATTTAGCTCAAAATCTAACTTTTACTCAACATATATATGTGTCCTTCATTTGGTGTTGTCTGTATTTTGAGATTAAGTGCTTGAATGTTTGATTTTGGCTTTTTGAGTGTAGTATGTATCTTACAATGGGAAGCGGTCGCTTAGTGTTTAAGGTACTCAATTTCTAACCACTAAGTCCCAGGTTCGACTACCACCTTTACTATGTCAGTTTGGATAGCTAGGTAGTATCGCTATCTCAAATGTATCAACTAAGGCTTAAAGCCGATCACAGATATCTTTATCCAGTAAATAAATTGCGTCATCATATCCTATTGTTTTATTTTTCGAAACGTTGTTGGATGACATTGTACACTTACATTTACACGTGAAGAAAAAATTCATACTTCTCATCTTAAATAAAATGATCTTGCTAATAATGAATTTTGATAAAGCATTTTTTAACTGATAGAAATACTGACCTAGCATCTGTTGTCTGGATTATTTACAAATTATATAAAAAAATGTTTACTTTTGTTCAGAACAATTTAAAAACTCTTTCAAATAGACTAGTTAATTGTCAAAATCGTAATCATTATTTGTTTCGTATACAAAACTATAACTACATCATTTTCGAGTTTGTATATCTAACAGCATTGTAGCGCTATAAGACAGGTATAGGATATGCCTAAAATGTTTAGGAATGAACGTTTACTGAGTGACAGGTTGCACGTAACAGGGTTAGTAATAAGTCAAAATCAGAAAGCCGAAGATTATTGATTCTTAAAGTAAGATAATCGCTTATTAAGATGCTAACAAATATTTCTCATGTGTATATACAATGTTTCATCGTTTAAAGATCATATAACAACAATATAGAAAATTTATATTATTTCAAGATATATTTGTGGTATAGTAAACTATTTCTATTAAACAATTAATAATAAAATTTCTCTTGTAAAAATAAAAACACATTTGATTCATATTAAATTTATCTGATCAATGTAAACTTAGTATTCATGTTTGTTATGTGTAAAAATACTACTCAAAGATGAGCCCTTTCGGTTTTTATAAGAATGGATGTTTTTAAAAAAAAGCGTTTGAATACAAACCAGTTTAGTGAAATGTGCTTGTGCTGCGGTCCAATAATTATGATATTCTTCTGTGACATAACTATCGTGCCCAATTAATATTAATTGAAAATCTTTTGTTCTGGGTTTTGGAGAAAGCAGTTTATCCCATAAAGTTAATTACCTTTATATAAAAATTCAGATGAGTTTTGTATACTCTGAAAGTGATTCCTGCTAGACGGTCGCCACGTTCATTAAACCACTTATAAATTTAGCTACATAATTAATCTTAAATAATCGAATTTAAACTATTATACAGTCTTAAGTATTTATTTACTTCTTAAGTCAATATAATCCCAATCAATGTATGCATGTAAACTAACTCAACATGCATACAGATAATCTGTGTATGTTCCGGAATGTCAATATATTAGTCTCGTTTGTACTCCATCACACATATTTGAATGTTTTAAAAACCATTATGAAATGAATAAGAAAATGAAAAAAATATGTGAATTATAATTTATGACGAGAAATATGTATTTCTTATATCAGCTGATACACATTGATGGAACTATTAGTTACAAGCTTTCACAAAGTTAAACATTTGAAGTTGGCCAACTTTATAAAAACAGTTATCCTTATCATGATGTGACACTAGTGGGAGGGCTATTCATTTAAGTAGTCAGTCAGTCAGTTGCAACGTAGAACTTCGTACGTATGTACATAAGTTCATGTTGCCATACCACATTATTAGCACAGAGACGCAAATGTCAAATCAAATCCCATAGTGATAAAGATGGTAGAGGTATTAATGTTATAATAAAGAAGACTAGGGTTTAAGATATTATTCAAAAAATATAATTCAGTGAGATAAGGTTAGAAAGACAAAAGTAGAGGTGCTGGCTAATCCAGAAGATTAGGATTTGAGAGAGCTCAAAGAGTGGATGCACCTGCGCCATTGCAAACGATTTTGAGCCATGTCGTTCAAGGTTTCTAACCATTGGTGACTTTCGTCTCGCGGACCCCAACCAGTTAGTCTACATCTACCAACATGACTCAGTCCACTTGTCAGTGACTTCATGGATTTGTGCCATGTTTTGGTCTGGCCGCCCCTAGCTTTCTTCCAACCTACTCCTACACCACAAAACATAGCTCGTCGAGGCAGTCGGTGGTTCGGCATACGTAACACATGTCCCAACCACCTCAACTGATGAAGTTTCAATACTTCATCGATTGATCTGCCATCCTTACCTAGTGCTCGTTTCCTAACGACAGCATTGCTTACTCGGCTGTCCCACGATATACGAGCAATGCTTCTTAAACACCTATGATCGAATACTAGTAACCTACGAACATCTTCTACTCTTAACGGCCATGTTTCACAGCCATATAAGAGAACGGAACGAACTGCTGCGCAGTACACCCGTCCTTTGGTTAGCGAACGGATATCACGCCTACGCCATAAGTGACGCAGCTTGGCAAAAGCTAATCGAGCTTTCTGTATCCGAGCTGAGATTTCGTCAGTCACCAGACCGTCAGCACTGATGAGACTCCCCAGATAAGTGAAGTGATCTACACGCTCGACTACTTCACTTCCTATCACTAGTTCAGGTGCCAATGCAACCCAGTCTTGAAGCAACATTTTGCATTTCGAGGGGGAAAACCGCATCCCGAACATGCTCGCATTGTTGCTTATGGTAGTCAGAAGACTCTGCATTTTGTCAGCGTCTTCACCAAATAGAACTATGTCATCGGCATATTCTAGATCAGTAAGCGACTTTCCTGGTAGAAGGTCAACCCCTGAAAAATCTGACGAGCTTAATGTTAACTCTAAGAGGGTGTCTACGACAAAGTTGAACAAGAATGGAGAGAGTGGACAGCCCTGACGGACACCACTTGATGTAGAGAATTCAGATGACAGTTCGCCATATGCTCTCACCCGACCAGTGGTGTTCGAGTAGAGTGCTTGTATAAGGTTAATGTACTTCTTTGGTACACCTTTCAATGACAGACACTGCCACAGAACCTCACGATCCACTGAGTCGAATGCCGCCTTAAGGTCCAGGAACACGACTATTGTCGGACGTCTAAATGTGTGTCTGTGTTCCAGGACCTGTCGTAATGTGAAGATGTGGTCTATACAACCACGTCCAGGTCGAAAACCAGCCTGGTTTTCTCGAGTCTACTCTTCGCGAGCTCTAGTTAGACGTCTAAGTATAATCGAGGCTAACAATTTAGAAACTATATTAGTTAAACTTATTCCCCTGTGATTGTCACAAGAGGACTTCTGTCCTTTCTTGTAGATTGGTACAATTAGCGACTGAGACCAGTCAGATGGGATTACGTCCATTTCCCAGATTCTACCTAGGATCTCGGTCAGTCTAACCGTTAAAACTGGACCACCATCCTTGAACATCTCAGGGGTAAGCCTATCAGGACCTGCCGCTCTACCTCCCCTTAGATTTCCTATAGCTTTCTCAACTTCATGTAAACTGGGAGGACTTAAATCGATTTGCCATTCAGGATAACTGGAGATCGTGGGCAACCGAAGAGTGGCTGAAGGCCAGTTGAACTGATCCCTAAAGTGTTCTGCCCATCGGTCCAGCCTCCTAGATTGAGAATGGATAATAAGACCATCCTTTTCTGAGATAGTCTCACTTACATTCGGGTTCCTAATACCGGTTTCTTTAATAAGGCGGAAAAGTTGTCTAGTGTTGCCTATCGCCGCTGCCTTTTCCATCGCTTTTGCTTTCGCCACCCACCACTGTTCACGGTCGTTACGTAGGCTTTTTATAAGTCTGCGCCTAAGTTGAGTACGCTCTTCATCATGTTCAGAGTCAGGTGGGATGCGTTTTCGTGCATCCATCAGTTCGGTGGATGCGACTGAAATCCACGGCTTCATCCTAGCCTTATGGTTTACCTTGCTAGCAGATATCACTGCTGTTTCCACAGCCTTCTTTATATCATTCCAACCTGACTCCGGATGGGAATCACTTGCATGATCGCCCAACTGTTTTTCTAGTTCCTCATGAAATATTTTCTTAGCTTGATTATCATCGAGTAAAGCCCTAAGAGGCTTCCTTACGGTGTCTTTCCTACGTCCATCAAGCCTCAAACAAATACGTGCTCGCACTAGGGCATGATCTGAATCTAAACATGTGCCCCAAAACGAGCGACAGTCCTCTATCGAACCCCTCCATCGGTGGCTGATGGCGATATGATCTAGTTGTGTCCAACGTTGAGACGACTTCGGGGGTCGCCAGGTCAAAAGGTGTTTTTCCTTATGCTTAAAATTAGTGTTTGCTAGAAATAGTTGGTTATCTGAGCACAGTTGCAACAGACGGTCGCCATTGTCTGTTCTTTGAGTCGCGAGACCGTAACATCCACCTAGGTGTCTTTCATTTTCACTAAGTCTACCTACTTGTGCATTGAAGTCACCAGCCATTATAACTATATCAGAGCGCTTAACTTTATGGAGGAGGTCCGAAAGCTTTCTGTAAAACTCATCTTTTACATCATCTGGGCTGCAGTCAGTGGGGGCGTAGGCTGATATGACGAAGAGGCAACGGCGAGTGTCCCTATCTTTCCGAGTCCTTACTGTCCCGTTCAGTCGGACGGCGCACAAGCGACTATCTACAGGGATCCAGTCAAGGAGAGATTGTTCTGCCCTACTACTCAATGCTATACCTACACCGGCGAGGCCCCTAGAAGCAGCATCAGGGCTACCGGATACACGAAGGGTAAATCGAGCTGCTTCTTTATCTTGACATGGTGAGGTCAAATGAGTGATGCTACTCGGATCCTGTATGCGCGTTTCCGAGACGCAGCACACATCGATGGAACGAGATTCTAAAGTCCTAGCTAATGACGCCTGTTGCCCAATGTGACACAATGTCCGTACATTGAATGCTCCAACATGTAGTTTGGAACGGGGTTTAAGGAGACCAGGAACGACGTTTCGCAAACTCGCATCGTTTGCATTAGCTGTGCACTGTGATAAATGAATGTGAGAAGAGTTAGTTGTGGAGATAAGAGAGGTATTAGGGAATGTAGGAAGGATTTGATTTTGAACAATTTTGTCTCGTGTGCTGTTGCGGGTATGAGGGCGGTTATCACTTCCCGGCTGCCCACACCGTGGAAGGTTGTCTCTTGACGAACCTGAAAGGGAAGATGGATTAGTGTTGGTGCGTGACCGCAGAGTCCAAGGGACAACTGCTTGAGGCCGGTCACGCACGGCCTTTTTATGAAAGGTATTTAGAGGATTAGCTCCGTTCTTAAAGGCCCTTAGTGGGCACCCTTACCCAAGGAGACGGAAATCCGTGAGGTAGGGGAGGTGTGACATTTTTAGGGCCGACCTTTTCTAACCCTTCCTTCCTTGTGAGAAGGCAGCATCGCTGCAGATGCTGGTTGTCCGAGGGAAA